GTGTTACGTACTCTTCCATCTCTGTAGTTAATTTCCAGCAAATTTCTCCACCCGCCTTCAGCTTTGAGCGTTGGCAAGAGGTACTCTTTTCTTGATCCCCAGCTATAGATATACCTACATTAATCATTTTTACTCAAAATTCATTTTACTATATGTTTTCTTTGGCTTTTTGCAATCTTTTGATGTATATATGTATACATAACTTTAGATCGTTGCCTCTTTGTGTGCATGTGGTTTTTTTTTTCTTCATTTTTATGTTGGATAATCACTATGTATACCAGTATATTAAACAAATCAGGGATATAATATTAGGTGATTTAATTAGTATTATCTAATTATATTTTTATAAGAGGAATATATTTACATGTAAATTTTACACATCATACTTATAACAAATTTTGATAATTCACCTCTTCACTTTAAATTTTTAAAATTTGTTACGACTTTTTAAGTAAAAAAAGTAATTATCTTTAATAAAAATAAATAAATCTTAACTATTAAAAATTGATAGATGACTTGTTAAGATTTTATATAAGTATAATATGTAAAACTTATATATAAGTAGATTTTTACTTTATTTTTATTTGAAAACATTTTAATTATTGGCTGTTTTTTAATTCATTAGAGCATCTAATTGTTTGTAATTAAGTTATCTTTACCTAATATAACAATGATTACATTGTCTTTCCTACTATTATTTAAATCTAATATTTCATTTGCTTGGCTCAAAATTTTGGATATTTCATCAAATTAAACTTAATTAATTAGTCTTTATGCAAAACCCAACAACGTTTTAACTTTGAGCATCGATCATTGAGAAAGAAAAAGCAGCTACAATCTAGCTAATTACATTGTCTTTCCTACTATTATTTAAATCTAATATTTCATTTGGTTGGCTCAAATTTTTGGATATTTCATCAAATTAAACTTAATTAATTAGTCTTATGCAAAACCCGAACAACTTTTTAACTTTGAGCATCGATTATTGAGAAAGATAAAGCAGCTGCAATCTAGCTAATTAAGGTATGTATATATATATATACTACTTTCTAATTAATCTTACTCCTTCAATTCTTTCAAGATCTAAATCAAACTTAATTTAGAGTATATGTTTTCTAATTAAAAGGACCTTCCATGGTTCTAAATTTAAGTATTTTTAAGTAATTCTACACACACCAGACTATATGCTTCTCATAAAATGCCTCCTTTTTAAAATCCTCAAATTATCTCTAATCAAGCTATAATCTCTCATGGATGAAAAAAAAAAGAAAAAAGAAAAAAAATAAGAAACTCATATTTAAGAAAGACATTTGAAATTCTTTCCTTCATATTTTATTCCTATAGTATATGAAAGCCATTCTTAATTCTCAATTTAACACAACATTATAATACTTAGATTTATCTTGCCATTTTCAATATCAACAAGCGAAAATAATTAAATCTACTTGTTAGGATAAAAGACTAATTTGACGATAGTCTAACATATGTGCCTATTCAATAGATCATACTACGTACATTTAGATCTATCCATTCCTCTCTTTTGCAGGAAACCTGTTTTATCCAATGGATACTTTATTCTTTGTTGGAGGTTATCTTTTATCTCCTATATATGAAATGCTATCAGAAAAGTTGAAAGATTATGTAGGTGATCAGCTATGGAATTCGGATGAGGAAGTACATCCCCAGATGGAACACTGGAAGATTCTATTGCCCAAAATCACTGCTGTACTTCAACATGCAGAAGAAAATCCAGTTGCCAACCAGTTCGTGAAGTTACATCTTGATGATCTCAAGGACTTGGCTTATGATATGGAGGACATACTTGAAGAGTTTGTGATTCATGCCAAGAGGTCCAAATTGAGTGCAGAAAATGCGGCCAGACCCAGCAAGCTTCCAAAAATCATCTCTAGTGTCTTTTTTGGATCTAGAGCTAAGCCTAATCCAAAGCTTGATTCCATGGTGAATGATCTAAGTGGTAGATTGCAGAAAATTCATGATGGGATGCATAGTTTGGACCTAGCCAATTTGGATTTGAAACTTGAAGATATGTCTCACAAAGTAGTTGCAAAAAGACTACCTGAGTCTTCTCTTCTTGAAGATATCATGTTGGGTCGAGATAGTGATAAAGAAGCTATTCTTCAGAGGTTGCTAGAAGATGGAGGCAATCTCAAACAAGACTTTGTTATTCCCATCGTTGGAATGGGTGGACTAGGGAAGACAACTCTTGCTTGGCTCATCTACAATGATAAAAGATTGGAAGGCAAGTTTGACTTCAAGGCATGGGTTTGTGTTTCTAATGAGTTTGATGTTGCTCAAATAACAAGAACTATTTTAGAACATGTAACTCGGAAAAGTTGTAATCTTCAAAGTTTTGCTTTGCTTCAAGAGAATTTGAAAGGGGAGTTATCTGGGCACAAGTTTCTTCTTGTATTAGATGACATTTGGGACAACAAATATGGCCAGTGGGATGTCTTGAAGAGACCTTTCATGTCAGGAGCTCCTGGAAGCAAAATAATTGTCACAACTCGAAATAGGGATGTTGGGATGATGATGAGAGGAGATGATGGAGTTTACAATTTAGAATTGCTACAAGATGATGCTTGTTTGCCGTTATTTACACGACAGGCATTGGGGAAAGAGAACTTTGATGCTCATCCTAACCTACAAGATGTTGGTGAAAAGCTTGTTAAGAGGTGTAAAAGATTGCCATTGGCACTAAAAACACTGGGTAGCGTCTTGCGAGGAAAGCTACATCCTGGTGAGTGGGAAAATATATTAAACAATGAGATATGGAGTTCATCAGAATATGGGAGTGGAATTCTTCCTTCTCTGAGATTGAGCTACAATCATCTTCCTTCTCACTTGAAGCGATGCTTTGCTTATTGTGCTTTGTTCCCTAAGGACTATGAATTTGACAAAGAGAAGTTGGTTCTATTATGGATGGCTGAGGGCCTGTTGCAGCAACAGTCATGTGGAAAGAAGCAAATGGAAGAGGATATTGGTCATCAATATTTTCAAGAGTTGTTATCAAGATCACTCTTTCAACAATCAAGCACAAATGAATCACGGTTTGTGATGCATGACCTCATAAATGTTTTAGCTGTAGAGGTTGCTGGAGATGTATATTGCAATCTTGGAGGTAGCATGGGTGATGAAAAATTAAAGAAGGCTCGTCATTTGTCTTTCACTCCACACTTCCATGAAATCTCAGAAAGATTCAAAGACTTGGATAAATTGAAGCATTTTAGAACATTCTTGCCGCTAAAAGCACTCAATGACTACAGAATGTTCTATTTGTCTAATATAATCTTGGTTGATTTCTTGCCAACTTTAAATCGCTTAAGAGTGCTATCTCTTCACAGTTATCAGATAAGCAAGGTACCAGGTCTTTTTGAAAAGTTGAAACATATTCGGTATATTGATTTGTCACATACAAAAATCAAATGTCTACCTGAATCAGTGGGTTCTCTTCTCTTCTTGCAAACATTGTTATTATCTGGTTGTAAAGAGTTTACTCAGTTGCCTACAACGATGGGAAATCTAATTGATCTCCATCATCTTGATATCACTAATACACCATCTTTAAAAGAGATGCCATCAGAAATAGGCAATCTTAAAAATCTTGTAACATTGTCGAAATTTATTGTGGGGAAGGCAAGTGGAATGATGATGAGATTATCTGCTTTGAAGAACTTGTCACAACTTCGAGGAAGACTGTTTATTCTAGATCTGAGAAATGTTTTGCATGTTCAAGATGCTGTGGAGGCCAATCTAGACAAGATCCATGGTTTGGAAGAGTTAGGCTTGGGGGGGTGTTGGATCGCTCCTGATAATGATCAAGATGAATTAGTACTCAGCTGGTTAAAGCCTCATTCAAATTTGAAAAGTCTCAAAATTTTTAAGTATGGTGGCAGGTGTTTCCCAAACTGGGTTTGTGATCCATTATTATTTTTGAATTTATCATCCATGGAGCTTCGCAATTGTAGTAGATGCACTTCCTTACCATCACTTGGCCTACTACCTATTCTCAAGAAATTGATTATTCAAGGCATGATGGCAATAAAAGCTGTGGGTCCTGAGTTTTATGGGCGGCATGACTCTTTTCGATCACTGGAGGAGCTAGAGTTTACAAGCATGCGAAATTGGAAGGAATGGACTTCTCCAAATGGAAGTGAAGGTGAATTCCCTTGTCTTCGTAGGCTTGTGATTCATCATTGCCCTAAGTTGTTAGGCCAATTACCTAGCAACCTTTTTTCACTTAAAGAGTTGGATGTTATTGGCTGCAATGTGAAGCTTTTGAAGAGTCTGGTTGATCTCACCTCACTCACTAAATTTAGAATTTAGCAAATTTCAAAACTGACTTGCTTGCCAAAGAGTTTTATACAGTCCTTGACAACACTTGAGAATCTGTCTATTGAAGATTGCGAGGATCTTACTTGTCTGTGGGAGGAAGGGGCAGAAATAGAACAAAACCTCTCGTCTTTGAATCTTAAGCATCTTAGCCTTTTTGGATGTGGAGCTTTGGAGTCGTTACCTGATGCAATGATGATGAGGATGGATGAAAGCAGTGGCAGCAACAGTAGTATGTTGATGTTGAGACTGGAAAGGTTGGAAATTGAGGGTTGTCCTTCTTTCGAGTCTTTTCCAAGAGGCAAATTACCCATCTCGCTTAAACATTTGAGAATAGAAGATTGTGAGAGTCTTGAGTCTCTGCCAGATG